CTTTCTCTCTTGCTTCTCTTCTCAATCATATTCTTTGTCTCCCATTCCTTCATTGTTCTGACCAGAAAAATTGTGCATTTAGGGTCTGAAAGGTTATATAAATTCATGAAAACAAATGATATAATAGAAGCTTACTTTTGGTTGTAGGCTTGTTGTGATCAACAGTCGAGCACTCCAGATTCCAACTATATCGAAGTTACGTCTTCTGTACGATAACTACATCCGCGATGCTGGTGTGAATGAGCATGTAACGCCTGCTGAGCATGCCGAAGAGAATGATCTGTTGGACTCGTTTATTGCCACACCTGTAATGAAATACACGATGCATTTCCTCGCAGACAAAGGTTATATTACTACTTTCTGAGTTGGTCCCCCATACAGCCCTTATTATTATACATCACTTTAGAGTTCATGTTATTTTCATATTTACTTCAAGTGTAGACTAGCATGTAATATCCACCTGTGTTGCTTAACTATGCCCCACTGAATGATATCTGTATTAAAATTAAAATAACTTTCACAGTTAAAACACCTACAGACCCCCTATTACTCCCTCTACTTCTTCTGTAGCATTTGAATTATTATTATTTGACTTTTCCTACATTTTGGTGATTATTATTTACTAAAATTTACACAGACATCTTTAAATTCAAATTTTGTATGCCATGCTTGCAACATCTATAAATAGACAGAATCATAGGAATGAAAATAAAAATGAGATATGGTCAGTGCATGGTATGTTACACTGAATGCAGTACAGGGCATTGCCATTAACTTTCATTTGTGTTTGTTTTAAATTTTAACTTTTATGCAAATGAAGAACTTTAATAGTACATTTCCATCAGAGTCCTTCACATTCCAATTAAGGAAGATTCTGACTCACGAAAATCAACACTTGGTAGCCTGGCGATGTCAGAACATATTTTTAATTTGTAAGTTGTCATCAGTTCTCTTGTTAAGTTAGAAAATTAGGAACTTGTCCTTTTGGAAATTACAGAAATAAAACCAGTGATTACAGTAAAAACAATCTTCTATATCTGGCTCAAAACATGTGAAGTACCGATAACATTAAGATAGATCAATGACCTCTTGCCTCTGTATTATTCCTTTCTTGCATACAATTAGGGATATATACATATACATTATTATAAATTTAGATACTCAACTCTGCTGCACTGTTCTTCTCAGAAATACATATTTATCTGTTCCTGAAATTCCTTATTCTTATGACACTTTACAGTTTATCAGTGCCACAACATAATCCTACCATTTGGCCTTTTGGTCATTAGTTTATGATAAAGGTGGGCAAGGCTGCTCATCTCTTTGTTATCTTCAGTTTCTCTCTCATAGTTCTAAAAATATTTTTTAGGCGAGCCTCATGGTGTAATGTGAATGAAGAACACTTTGTGGATCCATCCATGTCTGTGTGTCCGTCGGTCTGTGTCATGTTTTTTTATGGACTTGGAAACCTGCTTGACCCAGGGGTTGGGGCACTTGTAACAATGTGAATTGAGGTCACTGAAGCAACAAAAGAACCAAGATTGTTGAAACGCATTTTGCAACAAAAGGGGCTGAGGTAATACAGTGTGAATTCAGGTCAGAGTTGGAGTGCACTGTTGCAACAATTACCTTTGGATTATGCTGCAACAATGCCCTTGGATACCACTGTTGAATTTTTTCTAATGGTCGCCATGCTGATGTCAGTGCCTGTGATGTGGCAAGAAAAACAATTTCAGTGTATTTCACAGAGTACTCTTTTTCGGTCTTGTTAGGTGTGTATTTTCTGTCTATCTCTTTAACTCTGACACATGCACAAAAGCAGACTGACACTTCCCAGTTGAGTGTGGAACTAACCACATCCCAAGCACATAGAAAGTGATAGGTAAGCTACACAGCAGAGTCCAAGCAAACAGAGCATTTATTGAGGTTTTCAAGGCAGTGAGTCTGAAGATGCCTGTCTTCTGGGTTGTAGCACCATGCATTCTGGTAGATCATTGCCCTGATGACTGCAGTCAGTAAGGACCTCTGAAGTGTTAATAAACTTCTACTGGGCAGCATTTGCTAGCTGGATTGACTGTGTAGGCTACAAGTTGGAAATAACGTGACGTCTATGTTTAAAAGTGATGGTGCTTGAGAGGATGCAGGAATGGTCATAGACTGTTCAAAGGTAGATTCCATTTATTCCTAAAGGAACTGAGAAAAACATAAAAAATCTCAGGGTAATAGGTCTCCTAGCCAAGATTCAAATTAGGTAGATCCTAGATATAAAGCAGAATTTACAACGCCAAGATTCCAGTCTGAAATTTTATTTGTATGCGAAGCACATTAATAGTACCAACTATATCCATTCCCTTCTAGTTAAGTACAAATTTTGTTTTGTTTCTTGGAATTTCAGGCTTGGTAAGTAGGGATGTCAAAGCTCAGAAAAACCTGCTCAAACAGATTTGGTTCACCATGTACTCTCGAGGTGGTGGCAAGATTGGATCCAGTGCATTTGAGCATGTGTTCCTTGGGGAGCTGAAGCGGGGGGAGGTCTCTGGAATGCACAACTGGATCTTCTTTGGCACGGAGGAGGCACAGAGGCAGGCAGACTACATGGGCTATATTAGGAAGCTGGAACTTGGAGGGGTGAGTTTATTTTAAGGGTACAACAAAATCACAGGTGTTTGAAAACATTGTGCTCAGGAAGACACAACAACAAGGATGAAGTAAGTGAGCAATTTAAAGAATTATATAATGAGAAGCTTAGTGACTTATACAGACGACTTAGTCTTCCTGTGGTAGTGAAATCTAGGATGCTACAGTGAGCTGGGCATGAAAGAGATAAGGAATGAATATATAACTTTTACAGAAAGCTTCTTGGACAAAAGGCCACTTAGAAGCCCTGGAGGAATATGGAACTAGCTCAGAATTATGTTCATTGGTGAAATTTCTGGTTCTTCTGTCATGGTGTCATCATAATTGTGTATTTTATAACAGCAATTTCAGGTCCACACAAAGATTTTCAGGGTCCATGAGAGATATGTGTTATTGGACAAATGGATTGGAATAATTGATTTGTATAATAAGTTAAATTAAATGAATTGAAATTGGGCCTTGCACCACAGCTATTTCTTGATTTTTTTTTTGTGCATGCCCATTCACCTAATCTGCTAGAAGTCTCATACGTCTCTTCAAAAACTGTATCCTACAATAGCAGGATCTTGTACTTTGAGTGAGAGACATCAGACTTTGTTAAAATAATTAGTGCAGCCTTTGATTGGCTGTAGGCTTAATGACCAGTGTTCAATTCCTGGAAGAGCAAGATATTTTTGTCACCACATCCATACCATCTCTGGCGTCTACCCAGCTACATATACTGTGGGTACCATATCGTCTTTAATGGAAATGCAGACACTGGAGAATGAAATGGTCCGTGCACCTGCATGAAGTTCTGAAGTTAGGAATAATAAACCTTTACCTCTGGCATATGTCTGCATTCATAAGGGATAAATTACTTTTTAAATTTCTAAACAAGGTTAAGGGGGTCTGAGAAAGGATTGTATCCTTATTCCTCACAGCTTTACACTTTCACTGTCATTGCTCACATCACTTATCTTATACTCTTGAAAGGTTAGGTTAGGTGTGGAAAACAAAAGAAAGATGGTGAACTTCTGAATGTATTTACATGACTTCGTACTTAGGCATAACTTTGCCCTTACTTTGAAGTTAGGTTTCTTTCTGCAAATATAAGCAGTTGCAGACAGCTGACAAAAGTGGTCCTCCAGCTTGGAGGTTGGTTGGGGGCTAACAATTCTGGTGGTGGTGCGGACAGAATGTTACACGGGGCCTTGGACTATGCCAGATTCTTTGGAACAGCCTAAGCAATGGAAAATGAACATGAAATTTGGAACTGTGAATGTTAGGAATCTGTATAGGTCAGATCTTTTAGAAACAGTATCAAGAGAATTAGCAAAATATAAATTAGATTTAGTGAGAGTACATGTCAAATGAGATAAGTGTGATACTGATGCAGTGCTGATTATCATTTAGGAACAGGCTCTTTTGTACTCAAGATAATATCAGTGGTTAGGTTAGGTTAGGGTTTGTTAGTGATGGGATATCATACTTAATACTATATGGTCATTGGTGTGATCTTACTCTGAATGTGAATACATCAACTGAGCATAAACGTGATGACATATAGGACATCTCTTATGAGGAAAAAGAGTGTATATTTGATCAGTTCCCCCGAGTACCATATGAAAATTTTATCAGGAGACTTAATGCAGAGGTGGGGATGGAAGACATTTCAAAAAATGATTATGAGAATTTACACAAAAATTGTAAAGATAATGGGATTAGAGTAGTAAAATTGGCCACACCAAAATGTCTGGTTTTCAAGAGTACAAGGTTCCCACATCACACAATTCATAAATACACTTGGTCTTCTCCTGATTAAAGTTGCATGATGAGATTGGTCACATCTTGGCAGACAGAACACAACGGTCAGATCTATCATGTAAGTAAGTAAAAATTATAAACTAATTCTCTGGTAATAGAACTCAAGGATTCAGTATTTGTGGTACCAAGTCTTTCCACAGGGCATGTTGTTGAGCCTGTTCAACTGAGTCACATCCTTACAACCTAGTTCCCTAAGATGTGTCTTAATATTATTTTCTGCCTGTCCCTTGGTCATAAAGTGATTTATTTGTGAGAGGTTTCTTAAATAAAATTCTGCAAACTTTTCATCTTTTCCCATATCTGACTACCTATTAAAGATGAAGGATATATTTTGTGTTCTCAACAATTTTCAACATATACATGAAAGTTTTTATTTTTTCAGAGTTCAGGGCATTCTTGATACATTTTATTAGGGAATGCTCTTCATATTTTGTGTTGTTTCACACCTAATGAATTCAAAATTATGTTCTAGAAAGGAGCAATATTGAAACTGCACTACAAGTGGGCCAACGTGATGAAACCTGTTGGCTCAATGTTTGTTGGCACCAGTCCTGAGTTGGAGATGGCTCTGTACACAGTGTGTTTCCTTGTGCACGCTGATGAGAAGTGTCAGGTGCGCATGGCAGGCAAGCACTTCAGCATCAGAACGCACACTTACCGCTATCAAAGCAAAGAGATTATAGGCAGTGCTTTCCCTGAGATATAATGCACCTTCATTCATACTACCTGCCTACATGGAAAAATATCCTTATCTGTTATCAGTAGTGTCATTTCTTGGGACCATATCAAAAGCATGGGGAAATATAGCTACAACACTACCAGACTGGCCATGAAGAGAAACATTGACCAATCTTGAAATGTCTGGTGGTCACAATCTCCGTACTAACATTGGTATAGAATGTGTATGTTTGGAACACTTACATGTTCAGAACACAGAAATTAATTCTGAGCACACAAAAATCTGTGTTGCTGTAATACTTTGAATTTCTCTGAACATTGCTAAAAATTAGATTGAAACTAGACCTTTCTTGATAATAACGGTTAATCATGTTTCATGTTTATTTGATCACTTTTATATATATTTTTTTTACTTAAGTGTCCTCTTGGGTCATCAGAAACAAGGACAAGTAGTTTAGCAAGAATTTTTTTAGTGCCATGATGTCCTGTTCATATTTTAACATTGCATTTAAACCCTTGACATGTTGAATATCTTATTTCAGAAATTATTTCATTTTTATATCCTTAATGATAATTTGCAATTTGAATTTTTGAACAATGAACTGAGAGGAGACAGCAGAAGAGACTTCTTTTTTGCTGATGTTGATATTCAACAAATACATCTGCAGTTGTAGAATATGTTTTAAAGCTGATATACCTTGATTGTAGTGTGAAAAGGGATGAAGATAAAACAGTTCTTAACCGATATTCTTCCTAACTGAAAATGTACTGACAAAAACATTAAATGCAACATTACATTTTTAAACTTAGTAATGAGGTAATATATGTTAAAATGTTATGGTAACTATAAAAATTATAAGCTGGGTTAGCTCAGTCAGTATAATGACTAGGCTGGGCTTGACGACTGGGGTTAGATCCCCGATGGGGGCAGAGGATTTTTCCTCTAGCCTCTGTGTCCAGACTGGCTCTGCGGCCCACCCAGCCTCCTTTCCAATGGGGACTGGGGTTCTTTCCCGGAAGTAAAGCGTGGCTAGGACGTGATGCTGACCACTCACCTCATCTAGTGCAGAGGTCAAGAAAGAGTAGGAGCTATACCACCATTCCCCTCAGCACCTGCATAGACGTGTAGCAGGACTTTAAAAAACCCCTAAAACAATTCTCTTTTGGATATCCTTCTCCAAAAGATTTTTCTACTCTTTGTATTTGCCTGTGTTCTGCTTCAAAATTTAAAAAATTGCACAAAATTTGGGGCTATGTATGATATGGATGCAATGTTTGTTGGATAATACTCAACATTCAACAACACAGTTCATGCCTGAAGGCCGAGTTATGCACCAAACTTGGAAGACTTCTTTTTTTATTATTTAAGAATAATATTGTGATGTTATTGGTGATTACATTGTGAGTGTAACAATATTATCATACACTGCATTTAGTACTTTCACAGAACATAACAAAAACATGAACATTAATACTTATATTGTTACTATATAAATGTTGTTCTTGCTCTCACATTTACAAGTCTGGGAGTAATTCCAGGATTTTATTTTTGGTTTACGGTCATTGTGACCTATTTAAACAATGTGCAGAATATTATTAATGAATCTTCTATTTACTGGTAAAAAAGTGATAAAAGCAACTATTCTCATCTCCTAGAAATTATCCATTTAGATATATTATGGCACATATAGATGTTCACTGATAATATAAAGGAAAGGTCACAGCTTGAATGAAAATTGTGTCACACAAACGTTTATTTTAAATATTCTCATAGTATTACTGTTATTTTTTATAATTATATTCTTTGGTAATAAAATGTTGGATTTAGGGATTTATATTGTGTGGTTTATTTGTGCTTGTTGTGTGACTGATTGTGTTTCTAGAGCACATGAATATCAGTTCCGTTTCAGATAACAATGTTCTGACCTTGTATGTCCTACTAAACTTTTTATCTATCCTAAGTGGATTTAAGAGAACTCAAAGGTCGACTACAGCTTTTCTTCAAAACACTGAATGAAAGCAAACCAATGACATTGAGTGCTCAGATAATAATCATAACAACATACAACAAATTATAGACTCCACATTTGGTTATATGTTTTGGAAATAGGTAGTATGTACATAAGATGTGTGCAACACATTTGTTGCATCAGCTGAGATGTTCCTGGCCCTTTATATCATGTGTGTGTGTGTGTGAGAGAGAGAGAGACAGAGAGAGAGAGAGAGACAGACAGAGACGGATGGTAAAAACTAGTGAAATAATACATGAGATTTTATTTTTAAGAATAACCCACTACACCAGATATGTAAGAATGGATGTCAGCTTTAAGCCTTGCAAAGTATTGCTACTTAAATCTGTTCTGTCTTGTGTTTGGTCTCATAATAAAAGTTATTCAATGCCAACATGTTTCCATACAAAGTACAGGTTATGCACATCCAGACTCAGTGCACATTATGTAAGGAATTACCATAGTAAGTCTGGTGTATATGGATTTTGTCCACGCAGCAGAAACACATGTGCAGGTAGGTACAAACCAAACTTTTTTCAAGAACCCAAGATGTTTTCTTCTTGATTATTCACTACAATTTAAAACTGTCATCAAGTTAAAAAAATTATTTTGTTTCCAGTGCGTGAGTTACCTACTGCTGGAATATTGGCAGTTTGAAAACAGTTGCTTTGCATAACAACGGCTTCTTTTCCTTTCCGAGAAGGAAATAAATTGAAGTAGAATGTCACGTAAATTATACAGAAATAAATTAAATAAAGTAAATAGTAATGGAGGGAATTACACAACTACAGCAATTTGCTGATGTGTTAAAAATCTTTTCAAAGCCCGAAGTTAAAAGGGGTTGGCCATTTAAGTCTTAGGATGAAGAATAAACATGTGCAAGTTTACTGCTTCATATGAATGAGCTTATGTACAAACTCTAAAATTACAGCAAATCTTTAATCGTTAGCAAACAAAACTCATTTAGTGGCTACAGTAAGTATAACATCTAAAGGCCCATAGGCCACATCCAGTCCAATTCTTCAGAGGGAAGAATGTTCAATTTATTATGTGTGTTTTGTTCCCAAGGTAATTAAATTTAACAGAACACAATGCAGAAAAAAGATTAATATCAGATACTTCAAGCATAAACAAATGCCATTTGTAAGATTATAGTAGGTTTATGCCCCTGCGTAAGCCAGCGTTTGTGATAGTAAATGTTCTTTCTTATCTTAACTCAGTAAGACTCCTCAATCAGATTTTGTGGAAATATGGCAGTTCTTGGGTTGCTACAATCAGACAAAAAAGCCAGGAAAATGCTAATAGGTGCCACATGTCTGCAACTTTTAGCTGTGAGTGCACATAACACGAAAGAAATAATTGCAAGGACAGTATGAATAAAAATATGTATGTATTGATAATATCAAATGAAAAATTACTTCTAAACTTGCTTATTGAAAACTGACATAACACAACTAAAATAAAATTATGTATTTCATTAATTTTTGAGGCCTCTCACAAGGTGAGTGCCTCCTAAGCTGTAGCTTACACACAATTCTGACATTTATTGCACATAGATAAGAGTGCTTTTTATTTATTACAGAGTATATTTTCTCTTTCAGTCTCAAATAGTAGTTGATGTAACAGATCACCAAATGCCCTCTTTTACAGTTTCCTCTGAAGCATTAGAATCCAGGATAAAGCAAAGTAATTTATATCGATTTGTGACAGCTTACCGCCAGCATGGACATAAAAAGGCAAACATCAATCCTATTGCTATTACAGAAGAAAGGTTTGTGTGCATGTACAAATATTGTATTATGATGGAAGAAATTCAGTTTATTCATAGGAAAAAATAGCCCTTACACAATCTCAAAATCACAATCAAATCTGTGCTGTACCTGAGGGTGCCATGAGATAAACCTTTAGACTAGTACAGTAGTAGCTATATGCACCACTTACTTTAACGTTCATTAACTCTGCATTTTCCCCAGAATGTATTTATGGCATATGAATGACTGTCACAATAAACATCAATTATTTCCATGAGTAAGTTATTGGTACAGCCTATCTTGACAGTGTTAAACTGTTAAAAT